GTATATGTGAGCTGCTGTATGGAAAAGTGAATTTGCTCTATAAACTTTTACCCAAATCACAATTAAAAAAAAAAAGAAAAGAAAATCTCATCAACGTTTCAAAAGATATAAAATTATAGAAAAGTAAAGTTTCAAAGACTCAGAGAAACTTTGTATCAAATAAATTGTGAAAATGCATAGTGAAAAGGGAAAAATACTAATTATCTATGCAGTACATATGAGTAACAGTGTTGGAAAGGAAAAATCCTTTTTAAAGTAAAATATTTTTAAATGTTAAAAGCAAAATTAAGTGGTCAACAAAACTTTAGGGTTAAAAAGTTAGATTTAGAAATACCATTTGACCTAGAGAAAAAAAAATGTTAGGTATCCTTCCTCACATAGTCTATAGTGCTCGTGGTATCTTAAGGGGTGAAGTATTAATTTACCAGGGTAATAAATAGCTCATGGCCACATACAGAACATATTAGCAACTAATTCAAAGATTAACAGTTGAAATTATATCCTGACTTACGCTTTTTCAGCAGGGTAAACATACTTCAACTCCTTGAGCTGTGACATGCTTACTATTTAGAGATTCAGCAATATTATGTGACTTTACCATTTAAAGTGAACATGAGACAAGAGAGGTCACATTGATACTACTACTCACATAGCATATTTTATGGGTTTCCCTTTTCTCATCGTTATTTTTTAGCCACATTAGTTAAATGCAACACATTTACATGCAAGTAGGTCCAGAGATGTCAAAAGTTTGAATCATATTTTCTTTTATGGAGAAAATGTGATAATACATTTATTAACTTAAAAAAAAAGAACCAAATATACATCTGTAGCATCTATAAAGGAAATATAAATCACTAGAAACAAAATATATAACATTACTTTTTTAAAACAAATCTTATGTCAAAAATTTTAGGAAAAAAAAATTGGTTCTTCAAATTCATGTCTACTAAAAAGGAGTACTGTTTTCCTGTGACTTAATTTCAGCTATATTCATATACAGCAATGAAAAAGATAAATCTCCATTGTTCTCTGTATACTTATTGTCACCATGTAAAATTCACTAACTGCTAGAAAGGTCCTTAATGTTTAACCCTCTTTTCCTTCCTTCTGCACGTATTTATAAAGCCATCTGCTAGTTCTGTGTATCCATTTATACTTCATCAGAAACTAATAAGGTTTACAGAGTTTTTGTTAGACATGATTTCTTTCTGCGAAAGACTTTTAAAATAGATGGGATCACCTATTAGATTTGAAATACTCTAGCCTTTTGGTAGACCAGATATATCTGTTAAATTATTTAAGGATCTTCTAGGCCACTGAATCAGCAGCCAGTAGAAGATACTGCAGCTGCTTAATAAAGCCCAATTAAGTCCATTATAGCCTGTAAGAGGTTTGCACACAGTGCAGAAACAAAGAAAACATTACTTAGTTTTAATTCTACAATTTGAGAAACAATAACAGGCAGATTAAAGTATTCTTCCTTATAAATCAAATAAGCTACTTTATTATGCTAGATTTCTAGTGAAGACAAATTTCCAGCATTTTTCTCATCACTGCCCTCCAGGCACTACACATCACTTTGTATAAATATTCCCACTGACTAGGATGAAAAGTTGTATGGCTAGTCTTCGTTTCAGATTAAAGGACACAACAAAATAATAAACAAGTGAGTATGGAACCTTTCTCCAAAGAAAAAAGAATGCCACAAGTCAGGAAGCGCAAAGCAGCCTGTGAGTTATGCCACCCTGGAAATGAGGCTTTAGGACTGCCGTGCTCCGCAAATTGCAGCCTTCACAAGGATGCCTATTTCCAAATGCCTCTTTCTACCAACACGCTTCCAGCCTAACATTTGTCAAACCTTTTCTTTTGTTAAGAGTTAACTTGTCAGTTTTTAAAATGGCTTGCGGTTTTCTATCCATCTTCCTTGATGGAAATGTGAAAAGTGTGAGTTACTCCCTTTCACAAAGAATCTTGTCAAGGATCCGGAGTCCAACTTGACTGTATCTCCTGGGAAAAATCCACCTTCTGGAAAACTAACAAGTGATGACTCTCCTATCATAATCCAGCTTCACAGAAATAAAAGAGGTCAAATAAGGAGATAACAACCATCAAATTAGGAGTTAGAGGGTGCTGTATAACTCAGCAACAGTCTGAAAATGCTTAAGCGCTTGTAGATCTGATCCTCAACCATCCCACTAAGCAAATTATTTTACTTTAACAAAGCAAATAACTGATAATGGTAAATGCAATGACAACAGTCAACATGTTCTCTCTGCTGAAACTACAATAAATTAACAAAGAGCTAGCTCCACATGAGAACTGGTAATGAGGATGTGATTAATGTCCAATATGTACTCAAAAGAACAATCTCTTGAAAAACTATACCTCACAATCCTGCCAGACATGCCTCCCCACACTGCCTCCTGCTTAAAAGCACAAGCTCACATCTTCATCAAGTTAAATCACCTCAAAGTATTTTAATTCTTCATAAACATGGAATTTGTTGCTTTGTTTCAAGGGTCTATGTCTGTGTCTCCTCATGAAGTTCATTAGGGCCTGTGAATCACATAATCCATCATTCTCTGCCTGTTGCAGCTCTAGACTCAAAAGGCTTCCAAGGATGTGCTTAGAACATGAATGTCACTGTGAAAGTTGCCCACCAACGTGAATGAAGAAGAACATTCCTGAAGTTCTCCACTGCTCACATTTAGATAAGGGGTTAATTGTTTGGAGGGAGAAAAAAAGGAATGTTTAGTGGCGTTTTCAGTGCCAGAAGAATTTAAAATATAAGCTCATGGGAGTCTAAAGATTTTTTAAAAAAAAAGTGAGGTTTTTTTTTTTTTTGGAAGGAGTGTATGTGGCTTAAATAAAATGTGACAAATAGTGAAGATCAAGAACTACAGGCTTGAGAATTGGAGATCTAAGACTAAAGTACTGAATGAGAGATTTTCTCTTTTTAAATGACTTTAATGACCAAACTTCCTTCCCTGGAGGCCATCACATGTACAGCTTTTAAAAGTGGCCAAGTACCTGCTAATTAGCATAGTATTTTTCTCAGATAGTTGGGAAGGATACTAAAAGTCCTCTAATTATGAAGCAGCTGCTTAAAATATTAAAGAAATAAGTTGGGTACTAATTACACGAGGATACACTAATATATGCTTATGCACATAAAAAAGGACCTACATTTAAAAAAATCAATGTATATTACCCTGGCAAAGCATAATGGTGGCATTTTTGTACAAAACTTAAAGAAAAAGACTACAAGTTCGACTCTCTATCTTACTTTGCTCATATTCCGTATTTCTTGCTAGTATGTTTGATAGCTACTATGTAAGATTGGGAAGAGGAGGACAGAAAAACTGAAATAAAGAGTGTGGCCTACATTCTTTTCCTTCTCTGGGACAGGAAGGGAGAACTGAAAGGGAATTCACAACCAAGTCCCTGCCCTAGGAGCTCAGACAAGAGCATCTTCCCAGCAGAGGCTTAACAGTCTCCTCCAGAAGCAGCCAATAGGTACTGAGAGGTTGCCATAGACAAGAGGACTGGCTCTCCTAAATCTCCCATTTAGTTCTGCATAAAAGGTAATACAATTCTCCATGAGGAAACAAAACACACAAAAAATAAGCTAACAAGCAAACGGCTAAGATTACTCCCAACCTCAAAAACAGAGATAATAAGAATGTATGTATCAAATATATTACTGATTGTATATTGTCATATAGCCCCTTTCAAACAGCTTATTATCAATTAATTTGACCAAAGCAACAAACCTCACCTGTTCGGAATCTTAACCATGTTCAAATTATTACAAATAGTTTGTAATAACATATTACGGCTATTAATTGTCCAATAATGATTTAGCAGTAAAGAAAAATTCATTAATTCACCATTTAGTCGTTATAAATGACATTAAAATCAGGAGCACTCTCATGTACCATATATTGTAATTCTTCATAAATTCACGTATGGCAGGCAGAGAGTGGTAGAATTCCTTCCAATTCCGAAACACTGAGTAACAAAAAGGGAAGAATAACTAGGGTTTAGGGATAGTTTTGGTAGCATAGTGCCTAAGGCACTTGACTGCTCACCAGAAGGCTGGCAGTTCAAACCCACCAGCCACTCCTCGGAAGGAAGGTTGGGCAATCCTACTTCCGTAGTGATACTGCCTTGGAAACCCAAGGAGGGGTCGCTATGAGTCGGGGCCGACTCGACGGCAAACAACAACAACAAGGGATAGTTTGGGTTTTCTAACTATGGTTAAGTATTAGTCTACTAAGCCAAAGGTTGGTGGTTAAAACCCACCTGGAGATGCCTCAGAACTCAGGCCTGGAGACCTGGTTCTGAAAGATCATAGCCCTGAGAACCTTATGAGCAGTTCTACTCTGCACACATGGCGTCACTGTGTATCAGAATCCACTCAGTGCCAACTCACAACAACAGGGATGGTTTCCCACAATTCCCCTTACCCTCAACTAAGGACTTGAAGTATGGTGATGATATGACTTTAAGTTAATTGATTTCTCCTCCTTTTTTTTCTATCTTTTCTTTTTCACTTAGAGATACTATCTTCTTATTAGAGTAAAAGCTTCTAAAGAATAGAATGATGTTTTCTTAATATTCACGACTGATTTTATAAATAAACTGCTTAGTAAAGGAGTGCAATTTTGTTCACAACATTTGTAATGCTTTGCATTCAAAGAAGAAAAAATACACTCTGATCTTAATGCATCTGGTGAATTTTCTTAGTGCCATGAATATTCAACTAATTTAATACTTAAAAAAAATTTAAAATTGGTATAAATTGTTTTACAATGAAATTTTTAAAAAAAGATCTATAAATAAGGGATAGTTACCATATGCGTTTTTAATAAATATTTAAAAACACTACCAGTTAACTGCCACTAATATGACAATGTCACATATTTTTAAAAAATCAATTATATAAATACTATGAAACCACAGCATACCAGTTTAGAAAACCATAAGCTACTTACTACTTGTATGTCTCAGAACGGATGTATTCAAAAACATGGGACACACCAAGTTGGAACTGGTCAGCAATTGGGGTAACCCACGGATTGTTCTCTGCTTTGAATACCTGCTTCTGCCCAGTTAAATCCAAGTTTCCTGTAAAGATGGAGGGAAAAAAAAGGGGGAAGGTCATTTCATTCAATACAGACCAGGGATGTTCTTCCCAGTTACACAGCACAACTCTTACACCTTCTGGGTCATTTGATTTCATTTTCTTGGATTTCTTGCCCCAAGTCACCACTGGTACACGAAGTTAGGGTAGTTTCCCTGGCCTAAGAAATGAAGAACAAAGGAAGGAAGAAAGATAGGAAGGGGAAAGGAGGAAGGAAGGAAACAGGGAGAGAGGGAATGGAGTAAGGGAGGAGAAAACCTGGAAGAAATTCTTGCCAATGTTCATATGCCTTATTTTTCTAGGTATTTGCTAAAGAGACTATAAAGATCTGTTCAAGATCCAGAGAAGTAATGAAGAGCGGAACACACTGAAATCCCTTCCTGGCAAAGTGCATCACTGCTTGCCCCAACTGATCAACCCTTTTTTTAATTTTTTAATGAGCCAAAATAAATAAGAATGCAGAAAGATAAGGTTATTGCCCAAGTAGAAGCATTATTGCTTTACTTATGTACCATAAGCACATCTGAGAATCGGCACTAAAGGAATTCCATTAACATGGTAATGACAGAAACTAACATTTGTAAAGTTCTTATTAGTTTACAAATTGCCTCTTGAATACATTTCTCCATTTAATTCTGCAGCAACCCCTATGTATGGGTAGTTATTAGCATCATTTTATAGGTGAAGAAACGGAAACCTGGGGAAGTTTGAGTGACATGCCCAAGATCAGAAAAATGTTAGCATGGAGCTATGAACCTAAGAATCATATATTTTGGTTCCAAATTTTACGTTCTTTTTACAATGCCTGGTGAGGCAATCAAATTAAATTTCAATCTAGATCAACCAAAGATGAATTAATCAAAGTAGTGCAAGTAAGTCAGCAGGCACCACCTTCTCTGGGTATAATTTAGGTTGATGATCAGTCCACTCTGTCTACTCTGGTGTGTGTGTGTGTGTGTGTGTGTATGCGGTATATTTTAAAATGAAAAGACAGTGTGTGAAAGAACTTTCTCTACATGCTCATCTATGAAAGAGAAAGAGAAGGACAGAGAGCTTAAGCAGCAGAGAGGTATGTGGCTTTATTTGACAACAGACTCACTGAAGGCCTCTCCCTAAGAAATCCTACCCAGGAAGTCCATTTTCAGGATCCTGGTCCATAGCCCAAAGCCATTTGAACAAACATTCTGACTCCAGGAGCTATGGTAGCATAGTGCCTAAGGCATTTGACTGCTAACCACAAGGATGACAGTTCAAGCCTACCAGCCACTCCGTAGATGGAAGACTGGTACAGATTTACAGCCTTGGAAACCCAAAGGGGGTCACTATGAGTCAGAATCAACTTAATGGCATTGAGGTTTTTTGTTTTTTTTCATGGCAACACCATATGCTTTGCAGCAGAACTTACTCTATAAGGTTTTCAGTGGCTGTGACCTTTTGCAAGTAGATCACCAGGTCTTCTGAGATGCCTTTGGGTGGGTTTGACCACCAACTTTTTGACTTATAGCTGAGAGTTTAACTATTTGTGCCTCTCAGGGATCTATTTGAATATAAACATCCAGCAATGATTCTTCCCAAGACACAACCAAAGTAACATATTTGACTTGTTCTGAAGTTCTACTACCAATTCTAATTGATAATTCAGGGTAATAAAAATTTATTCTGGGATGCAAGTACACTACTAAGCAACTTATTCCCTAGCTGATCTGAGTTTTAAAAATGAAAGATGAAAGAAAATTTTTTACAGTAAGATGATATAATCTTTCTTCTTAAAACAGAATTGATATTTTGAATCCATTTTTTATAGTAACTATTCAGAAAAAAAGAGAAAGAAGAGACCAATAGAAAAACAATTATAATTCCACAAAATGCTTTTAAAGAAAATAGATATACTAAATATTAAGATGGTATAATTCATCATGGTCTTGCAAAGCTACTTTAGAATTTGTTGGTGTTAAATACAAAAGTAAGCAGATACATTTCTAAGATTGTCAATATTGTCAATTTCCTCATATTAATGGTTAAATATCACCATTAGTCAGATATTAAGTCATTTGGGAAATTAATGAGCTTGATTCTCTAAACCATGAGTCATAAAGCTGCCTAAAGCCAATAAAAATCTAAGGGTTGCATTTATTCTACTTAGCTGGGTATCTTACTTACCTGTGTTTGATTCTGTTGATAATGGCTTGTCATTTATCTTTTTGGTTTTTAACTGTATTGGGGGAAAGGACTTTTGATGCCCCAAGAATGAATAATCTTCTATTTAAATTTCTCTATAATCCTTACTTTCCCTTAAGATCTGGTTTGCTGTACTTTATGGTCCTCCTTCCATATTTTTCCCTCATTATTCCCTTTTCCCTAATTTCTCCTTTCCTAAAACTAAACATACTGGGGGAAAAAAAAAAACATCCATTTAAAAATAAGCCTGTATTTCTGAAGTGTCATGTTTCATATGCACAATGTGTATGTTGCCCACTGTTCTTAGGAAGGAGTCCCTGGATGGATGGTGTTAAGGTTAATTCATTAGGCTACAGTTGTGGTTACCTAGTGCCTCTGACAGAAATATACCACAAATGGGATGGTCTTAACAAACAGGAGTTTATTCTTACAATTTGGAGGCTTTAAGTTCAAGTTCCAAATGCCAGGCTCTAGGGGTTGGGTGAAAGCCCCTCAACCTAGGGGTCTAGCTCTGACTCCTGCTCCCGGCCCCACTGGACCTAGAGGCATTTCTTCACTCAGACAGCTGCTGGCTGCTGAGGCTGAGAAGCCTCAAGGGTGACAAGTAAAAAGGCACAGTCCCGATGTTACCAAATCACACGGCAGGCCATTAACTTAAGTTCATTGTAAGTCCCAAGGTCGGCAGAGTATAGCAGGCTGCTAAACAATGACACGGCTACATGCAGGGTCCAAGCGTGCCATAGGCTAGAGACCATTCCCAAGCCTTCTCCTTATATACAGGAAGCAGACCACATCCCAAAGGCTACTCAGCTGCTTGTGGTAGATCCCACCATAGAACTGATTGCCAGTCTCATCATGGGGAATAACTACCACCAGCTGCCCAGCCACTCAACCATGCCCAGCCAAACTGACACACAAATATAACTACCACAGCTACCAACCAAAAGGTTGAAGTGCCTTGGAAGAAAGGCCTAGCAGTATACTTCAGAAAGATCACAACCACTGAAAAGTCTACACACATGAGGTTTGCCATGAGTAGGAATCGACTAGAGGGCAACTCATTTGGGTTGGTCCTTAGGAAGCAAGGGCACTGAGGGAAGGCCAACATACCAGGCAACAGTAACCATGGTGCAGAACTTAACTAAGAATGTGGAGGTGGAGACTGTGGAGACAAGCAAGTATCTCTTAAAATATTAACCTACAAAACAACTTATTCTTACGTATTGTCATCTTCCTGCTTTCAAGCCTCCAGTCCTAACACACTGGTAACAGTATGGAATTAATCATGGGAAAAATAAAAAGCAACTTTTTGGGAAAATGTATGTATTCTAAAATGGACTTAGAAAAAGGAGCTACGAAAACACAATTGTGTAAGAAAGTGAAGTAATTCCTAAGCAGAAGGGTATCTCTGATAATATCTGTTTTGCTTTAAAAATGTCTTTCCTCCTTGCCTCTCCAAGTTGGTTATCCTACTCAAACAGTCTGACATTTTAATTGGTAGAGTTTTATCTGTTGAACAGGCATTCAAAACTTCCTATCATTTACACATGAACACGAACTAATTCATCTAGAATGCTTTCTTTTTGACATCTGTTTCAGATGGGGAGCAAGGGAATATGACTTTTTTTCCTTTGGGGAGAAGAGTGGGAGGAAGGGGAGGGAAAGTAGCAGCTGTACGTGGAGCACAGAGCACTGTATTTTTAGGACCATTGCTCAGTGTAAGAACAAAGTGGACCAGGCAAAAAGGATCAAGAAAGGGAAGAGGAAGGACAGCATAGACAAGTCTCAGCTACTCAAAATTTGCCCAGGGATGACTAGGTACCTGACAGTAAGGGAAAGAAGACCCATTCCTTCTCCTAAAAGGCATCAAAAGCGTTCTTCTACCAAGTTCAAGGCTTTCACCAATAATCTGAAAGTACATTTACGTGATGAGCAAAGCAGGTTTTAATGAACTATCTTTGAACTCAAGGTAAAGGTGGATATTCTTATGGGAAAGGAGAACCTGTATTCTATCATTGACAACCTATAAGCCCACTAGGGAATGTACCCAGTCTCTTGTTTATTTATTAAGTCACTTGCTAAACTTGTAAGTCTCCTCTGAAAATAATGTACTCAAGTTTTATGGTCCCTAATTGCCACACATAGAAGACAAACCTAGGGGAATACTGCAGAGAAAGGTCAGCCATGATCTCTGGGCCCTTTTATCTGAAGCCTCTAACCCCTAGAGATCTGTCAATCCCAAGTGATGTCTCAATTTAGGTGCTGTCAATGGACACGGAGGAGGCACAGAGGATTGCTAATGACTTCTGCTAACTGGAGCATGTGGGAAACTCTGGATGGCAGCTAGACATACTTCCTTCAGGGAAAAGGAGTCTTATAGTGATGTCTGAAAGTTGGATAAACAGAAAGAACCATGGGCTATTCAAGAGCATTTTCATTTACATCTCTTCAAACCCATCTGTACACTCCAGCCGGGGGGGTGGAGTGGGAGTAGGACAGTCCCCCAAACCTCATTTGTTTATTTTAGTATAAAACAATGCTACTGAACAAAATGTACAGGTGCTAGGGAGCCTAACAGGAAAGAATGACTCAGGTTCACTGAGGGAAAAAACAAAAACACTAGCTGTTTGTTTGCCGCTATGTTTCCTTTAAACAAAGAACCATAAAAACCTCATTTAATATCCATGACAAGCCTTAAAGGAAGAAACTATTAAGATGACAGAGATGGAAACCGCATTAGCCAAACTGAGAACTGACTCTTCAGAGTTGTAACTGGGACTTGGAGTAATGGGATGTGCTTATTTTG